GTTCCGGAGTCGAAGGGTGAGGTCACTGACCAACTTGTGATCAAGGCCGTGTCTGATCACCTTCCATGCGAAATTTCGCCTGCTGATATTGATCGGTCACACCGCTCAGGCAAGCCTCGTCCTGATGCTAAGAAGCCCCGCCCCATCCTGGTGAAATTCACCCAGTATAAGAAAAAGGCAGCCATGATGAAGGATAGGAGACGTCTGAAGGGTTCTGGAATCTCGATCCAAGAGGACCTGACTCAGACGAATCACCAGATCCTGATGAAGCTTGTCAACCACCCCAAAGTTGAGGCTGCTTGGTCCATCGACGGGAGGATCATGGCCGCCTTAAAAACCAATGAGGAGGGAATTTCTATGAAAAGGGCCTTCTCTTCCCTTCGACAAGTTTCAACCTTGTAATGAGTTGAAACGTTCTTAAATACCTAGTAACTCTCTATCAATCCCAGAGGTTTTGCACCAACTCTTTTTCTGAACATTTTTCTTGCTTGTAAGATTTTTCTTTCTTACATATTACACATGTATATATATCCATTGATCTTTTACTTTGTATTTAGTGTTGTGTGTGTGTTGATATGGGTGTTTGTGAGTGTATGTGTGAAGGCTCCTCCTCTACAATTTGATCTGTTCACTTGTTTGTTGTTTACTTATGTCCTCATGAACTTAAGTTCTATTACCTTGTTATACTTGGTGGTTTCCCATCAAAGCCCAAATTTTTATCATGGATGACAATGTTCAAGATTACCTTGATCATGTAGTCAGTGACTGCAAGTATATGGACTGTAGTGATTTTCAATGTAATAACTTAAGTAAAATATCCATTATGCATATAAATGCGAGAAGTCTTTTTAAGAATTATGAAGACTTTTTAGTTTTCTTGTCATGTTTAAAACATAATTTTTCTGTGATTGGAATTTCAGAAACCTGGTTCAAGCAAACAACAAATACGTGTATGTTTGACATTCCTGGATATTTTCTTGTACAAGTTTGTAGATCTAATAAACGAGGTGGTGGGGTATTATTGTACGTCAGGGATGGTATTGATTATAAGTTGCGTACTGATTTATCGGGCGAGCATGCTGGTTTTGAGTCTATTTTTGTAGAAATAGCCATTGATAATGTGAAATCCATTGTTGGTTGTGTATATAGAGCACCTGATAATGATATTGCTTCTTTCATTCATTCTTTTGATTATCATATGCAGGCTATTGGCCGGGAAAAGAAAGATGTCTATCTTATGGGTGATTTTAATATTAATTTATTAAATTGTGATTCTGATGGCAGAGTAAAAGACTTTGTTGATTTTTTAACATCTTTTGGTTTATTTGCTTTGATTACTAAACCGACTCGTATTACTTCTACTACCTCAACATTGATAGATAATATTTTTACAAATTGTATTCAAGATGATTTTGATTGTGGAATTCTTTGTTCGGATTTGTCTGATCATATGCCCATTTTTAGTATTAATAAAGGGAAGTCTCTTTCAAATGAAAAGGTAAATGTTACAGTTTTTAGACGAGTGATTACAAATGAAAGAGTTCAGAGATTTAAGCAAGATCTTCTTACTATTGATTGGTCTCTTCTTTATAGTCTTAATGATGTAGATGATAGTTATAATTATTTTTTAAGAATTTTTGGTAACTTGTATGAATTTCATTTTCCTCTTGTTCGGTTGAGTAGGAAAAAGAAATGTAAAAAACCTTGGATCACCCAAGGTCTTCTAAAATCTATAAATCATAAAAATAAGCTTTATTGTAAATACATTAGGCATAAAAGTGAGGCGAAGAGAAAGAAATATATAGACTATAAAAACACCTTGACTAATTTAGTCCGTAATAACAAGAAAAGTTATTATGATGATGTATTTAAAAGTACACAGAGGGATATACGGAAGACTTGGTTTCATATAAATGATTTACTTGGGAGGGGTAAAAAGGATCCAATACCAGATGAAATGTACCACGGGGAAATTCATTTAAATTCAAATCTAGATAAAGCTGAATATTTTAATAAGTATTTTATTAATTTGCCTGCAAGGATAAGTAGAGAAATTCCACCTGTTCAGACATTATTTGAAGATTATTTGTTGCCTCGGGATAACCGATCCTCTCTATTTTTTAGACCAACAACTGTGCATGAGATTGTTAATTTTGTCTTAGATTTGAAACCATCTAAGTCATCTGGCTCAGATGATATTTCTCCTAGAGTTATAAAAGATTGTATGCATGTTATTGCAGGTCCGCTTTGTGATATATTCAATAAGTCAATGTCTCAAGGGTTAGTTCCTGATAAGTTAAAAATAGCAAAGGTAGTTCCAGTTTATAAAAAGAATGATCGTAAATGCATTGAGAATTATAGACCAATTGCCTTGTTACCAATATTTTCAAAGATTCTTGAGAAATTAGTCTACAAAAGATTAAATGAGTTTTTGCTTCTTAATGATGTTTTGATCCCCCAGCAATTTGGCTTCCGTAAAAATTGCTCCACTACTATGGGTGTTTTAAATTTGGTAAATACAATAATATGTGCAATTGACAGCGGGAATTATTGCCTTGGAATATTTTTAGACTTGTCAAAAGCATTTGACACAATTGATCATGATATACTCTTAAGAAAGCTCAATCATTATGGTGTTCGAGGTATAGCACTAAATTGGTTTAAAAGTTATTTGGAAAATAGATTACAATTTGTTGTCGTTAATGGTGCCAAGTCTCAATCTAGCAATGTGAAGTATGGTGTACCTCAGGGATCTGTTCTTGGCCCTTTGCTGTTTTTGATTTACATTAATGATATTATTAATTCGTCTCAATTATTTACATATTCTCTTTTTGCTGACGATACATGTTTGTTGTATTCTCACAAGAATGTACACTCTCTTATGCAGTCAGCTAATACTGAAATTTGTAGACTCTTTACATGGTTTTGTTGTAACAAACTGTTATTGAATACTGGTAAAACTCAATGTGTAATATTTAGGTCTAGAGGGAGGAAAATCCCTGAAAATATTCACCCCTTAGTTGTTGGTGGTCAACAGATCAATCGCAGTCAACATGTGCTATTTCTTGGTGTTACGGTTGATGAATATTTATCATGGAAAGAACATCTTGATAAAGTATGTACTAAAGTGTCTCGCAGTACCGGAGTAATATCCAAACTTCGTCATTTCCTCCCCCAATACACCTTAGTTACTTTATATAATGCTATTATTATGCCTCATTTGATGTATTGTAATATTGCTTGGGGTCACACATTTAGGACCCATGTACATAAGTTGCAAGTACTTCAAAAGAAAGTTGTTAGGTATATAACAAATTCAGAATATAGATCACCTAGTACTCCTTTGTTTTTGCAACTGCATATTTTGCCTTTTGATGAATTGGTATCTCTTAATTGCTTAATATTTATGTTTAAATGTCAATCACTCCAGTATACATTTTTGACTAATGTGTTTGTGGAAAACTCTTCCATCCATCATTATCATACTCGTCAGAGTAACCTTGTCCATCAGTCATACGCCAGGACCCATACTGCCTTAAAATCATTTAGAACTGTCTGTGTTAAAAAGTGGAATAAGTTACCCCTTAATATAATTAGTATTACTACATTGTCTCGGTTTAAAATATCTTGTAAAAAACACCTTTTCGACAGATTGCTATCAGATACATGAATGTATTATAAAACAAGATGAGGTAGCCATGTATGAAGTGTACGTTATATGTGTGTGTGCGTGTGTGTGTGTGTGTGTGTTTGTGTATGTGTTGTAAATGGGGGGTGGGGGTATACTCATCTGCATAATTTGTTATGTTGTTACTATAGTTGTTACATTGTTACATAAACATGAGTTATACTCGTTGTAAATATGTTACTCCTTGCCATTATCTGCCATTATATACCTACTGTATAGTCTACTATGTAAAGGGGCCCCGTTCACAAGCTGTGCTTCACTGGGGTCCCAAACCTATCATTCTTGTGTTCCTTGCTGTTATATCTTATACCATTGTTTATGTTTGATTTGGTTTGAATAAACTTGAACTTGAACTTGAACTTGAATTATATTTATTATACTAATTATAATCATAATCATCAAATGTGGCTGCCAAATTAGTAAACAAACTATCCCCTTCCAAAGATCTTTTTAGCGCAAACAATGATTGTATTTGTGAGTTCTACGAAAGAAAAGGTGTACGTGAAAACAGCTTTGAGGTATTACTAATCAGTGAACAATTTGTTTTCAAAGAGTTAAGTAAATAATTACTAATATTGATCACATTGGCTACCTGTCCTAATCTGTATAACTATCTAGCTGATTGTTTAAAGCTATTTTTAATGATTTGTAATGATTGTTTACGTTACCTGCCCTGCATCTGCATGGACCGTTAATCATGCAGGGCTTTAATATTATGCTATCCTTTTCTTGTTATGCCTTTGTCGTAATATCTCTGTTCCTTTATTGCTGAAGTATTAATAAAGTGATGTACCAACAAAAAAATGTGATATTTTGTTCTTTTTTGTACGAGATTGGGGAGGGGGTGGCAAAGGGGGTGACACTAAAAAATGATACTGTAGAAGCCAAACTAACAACAACAACAATCCGGGGGGGGGGGGGGGGGTAATCAGATTATTTTTTTTTTGGTCGGGGTGTGTCGCTGAAGCCTCGAAACCTAATTTTGTTCTCGAAATAAGGCCCATTTTTCACAATTTTGGGGTATTTTTCAAAAATTTTGGAAATTTAAAAAAACACACAGACCCATTTGATTTTTAATGGTATTTTTGTCAAAAATGGGACCCATGTTTAGAGATTTTTTGTGGAAAGTCACCCATTAGAGCGGTACACCCCCGTATGTCTTAATATGTGAGTACCCTCCCCCCCCCCCCCCCCCCCCCCCCCCCCCCCCCGGGACAAGAACACTAACGGCAACAATAACAAAAAGCGTAGCCGCTTCTATATTTCCTTTTTATTTTGTCAACTTAACTCCACCACTTGTACCACGGAGAAAAAGGTAGATCGAGGTGGGAGGATCAATCAAAACAAGAGAGCCGAAGACGGTTTGCATTATTATTGATCTTTTAATATTGTGATCGGGATATATAACTAATGCTTTGCTTTAAATAGCGTATTCATCATGACTACTTTCATGCAGATGCTTTGTAAGATTGGATCTCCAAGACTAAACGTTTTCCGTCCTTGCTCGTCCTCGAAGGTCCAGAAAACACCAACCGCGCCATGGCAATGTACACGGTTCCGCACTTGCTCCAGTGCGGCATCAAAATCTTCAGAAACACCATTCGTTCCTTTGGAAGGAGACGTTGATACAGGACATGTGGATTTCCAAACTAATTTTGTTCACAATTATCGGTTAAATGAACAACTTCAGGAAATTTTGGGCTTTGTGCATGCTGGAGGTGGAGAGAAATCAATGAAAAAACACACAGAGTTGAACAAGAAAATATTTGTAAGAGACAGATTAAGACTTCTTTTGGATGACTACGATAATGAATTCCTTGAACTCTCTTCTCTAGCTGGGTGGGATATGGAGTACGGGAGAATTCCAGCTGCAAGCAACGTTTGTGGTAATATCTCTACTGTTTACTGATTTAACCCTTTTTAAACTTGCACTTTAAGTTTTTTTTTAGATATCTGTTAAGTATTGTCTAGGGTAGCACGCCCAGTATTCGGTCAGACTAGCCTTAAGGGCTCTCTCGAAATGTTTTTTTAATGATATTATTCGAGAGAGCCTTAAACGGCTCCCATACCCCTGCACGGAGAGGCATGTAAACAAAACTCAAAAGTGGTCCAAAATCACACTTTCGCGCACCCGACCAATATTGGACAGTGGCTTTGATAAATTTTGTCCGAGTTTTGGTCTTAATTAGCGCTTTAATTTCAAAATCGGATCTAAAAATAACAAAATAAGAGCAATTTTCTTACCAGACCGATACAGCTCAGCTCCCTTTTCACGTGTACCGTGTGAATTCACGATGTCTACACAATGGTGATGACCTCTGACTAGCACTTCGTAAATGTGCTGCTTCCGTATAATGCGCTGAATAACACTCATACAGCGCATTATACGGAAGCAGCACAATTTACCCACAATTACGGAAGTGCCAGTCAGAGGTCATCACCATTGTGTAGACATCGTGAATTCACACGGTACACGTGAAAAGGGAGCTGAGCTGTATCGGTCTGGTAAGAAAATTGCTCTTATTTTGTTATTTTTAGATCCGATTTTGAAATTAAAGCGCTAATTAAGACCAAAACTCGGACAAAATTTATCAAAGCCACTGTCCAATATTGGTCGGGTGCGCGAAAGTGTGATTTTGGACCACTTTTGAGTTTTGTTTACATGCCTCTCCGTGCAGGGGTATGGGAGCCGTTTAAGGCTCTCTCGAATAATATCATTAAAAAAACATTTCGAGAGAGCCCTTAAGGCTAGGTCAGACAGCCGTTTCAACAGCTGTAACAATTTAACAAATAATTTAAGAGCCACGAAACTTGCACAAATCAGGCAGCTGAACAACTTTTCTTAACTCTCAAAATTAAATCAGATTTAGGACCCCGGAAAGATCTCCAACTTAGCTCGAAATCTCTTAGTACATGTGCTAACATGCATAGCCATATGTAGAAGCTATTGCGAAACAACTACTTGTGCTGTCGCAATGAATTTAGTATGTGTGTAGGCCTAAAGAGAATCACTTCCGTGTTCACTCCATCGCAGTGAATTTGCAAATGACGCACCTGCCGATGTGCGAGAGGTATTTATACGATACCCTTGCCATACGGTATCGCTCGGACAGTATTCGGTCAACGCATTGACATTCAGTGCTTTATCGCGCAATTGTGTGAAAATAGTACGCAAATACGCTTCGCTCCTTGGCAACGGAGATACCACGCACAAATCGCGTGACCGAATTCTAATCGGCGCGACCGAATTCTGGGCAGAAAAATGCTCCGTCTTCTTTCGGAAGTATTTTGCTTATCATTATTCTATATTTTAAGTGACTATAAAATCCTGTTAGAGGAATAAATTTCTTTTCTTTTGATGGGTAGATTGCCAAATAAAAGAGTTAAGAATTCAAAATATTAGTGATTTCCCCTTAAGTGACCGAATACTGGGCACTCTGCCCTATAGTCGAGACATTAAAATGCTCTTCTTCTTGCACTGTACACTCAACGCTTGACGAGCACAAGATATGACAATAGTACGGCAATGGCGGTCTGTTTTTATTAAAAACAGGATCTACTTATTTTTTGTGTTAGATAAAGGATATTAATTGCCATGAATATTAAATGGCATAGAGAATAAAGAAAATCGTAGGTTAATGGCTGCAAAGCTAGCTGCACTCGCATAGACCTCTGGAGATATCTGTGCAAGCACCAATAGTAAGTTTTAGTTCTGCGCAAGTTGACTTTGTTATGACAGTTAACATGATTTTTCCTAGCATAAAAGATATAATCGTTTTCATATATGACCGCTGATCTGTTTAAATGAATGGAAAAAGATCTGCAGCCTAATAGCAGACTTTGTATTTCAATTTGGGGGTATATAGACTACAGGTATTTCATATTTTTGACTTGACAAGAGGATGGAGAACAATTAACGAATGGACCAACATTATGTTTGACTCTAATAATGTCAGATCTACATGTTTAATATGACTTTATCAAATGTTTTAGGGATTGGTAAAGTGAGGGGGACATGGTGTACTGTGTCTGCATCAGATGCTACCATCAAGGGAGGAACGAGCTATCCTATCACGGTGAAGAAGCAGCTCAGAATGCAGGAGATTTGTCAGCAGAATTCCCTCCCTGCGATCTACATCATCGACAGTGGCGGAGCATTTCTACCGTTGCAGGTGACTTGTGACTGTGTGTCAAGTAGTATAAAAAGGTGCCTCTAGTGTGGTTGTGTAAATAGTATCCCTGGTGTATGATAAAAAAGAGCAATTATTTTGCACCATGAACTTGTTATATATGTGTAAATTAGCAACAGTCGATAAAATTAAAACACCACTGCTTTACTGTTCACATTGTCCATATCCTAAATTATGACTATGTACTTCATATGAATATTCAATTTTTTTTTTTATTATTTAGAAAGTGTCCAATAGACAAACAGCAAAACACAGTTTTGCCAATGTGAACATCCCTTTCATAAATGGGTTGCTATCTCCATTTACAACACCAATTGTAACGTGTCTATTAAACCGAGGGAAATTATAGTTGGCCGAAATCAATCATCAAACATGCTGCCTCAAAAACAATCTAAACTCTCCAACAAAACTCAAGTAACTCAGGACAGTAGATAAGACAACCTCACTCGAAGAAGGACGAAACAGAACTTACTTTAATATTCAAAATTATAACATGTCTGTTAGTACAAATCAGGCATCATAACAAAATAAACCAATCAGGGGAAAGTCATGTGATGAGAGAAACCAGTGATGTGAACAGGCTAGATAGATCAAAGGTGAGAGGCAAAGAGAATGAATGAGAAAAGAGAAAGTGCATGTTGCTAGGGCAGGAAAAGGAAACCATGCATAGAGAATGAGAAGACAACAAAAGGAATAGGTTTGAAGGAGAGAGAGGAAAATAGGGTGTGGCAGTAGTGCAACTGAAAGACTGTGCTGTAAGAAGGTGAATGAAATGGGAACCTGAGCTGGGAAAATGAATATGCAAATGAAGAATGCAAATATATAAATGAATATGTAATAGTGGATAAGGGAGGTAAGAAATTTACTAACTGAAATATAAAGACAAAATTCAAACTGTTACATGACTCTTGAAACCCTGAATGGATTGTTTGGATGTCTCTTTGCTTTATCCTCCCTTTCAGTCTGAGATTTTTCCAGATAAGAATCATGGTGGCAGGGTCTTCTACAATGAAGCAATCCTCTCAGCTCAAGGAATATCTCAGGTAAGTACTTGTGCAAGAGGATAGTTTAATTCTTTATTTTGTATTAATAATATTGTTTTTTTGTTGTTGTTTTTTTAATTGTTTTTTTTAAATAATTTTGTTGGGTGGGGGCAAGTCCAATGTCTTTCTGAGAGAAAGATATTTGGAACTTGGATATCTAGGTCCAGAGGAGAAAAATGGTGATTATTGATTGAACTGGGATTAATATCAATCACAACTATGTACATAACAGATAAGAGACTGCAAACTTGTGTCTGATTAGAGGACTTGCGATTGATTCTAATCAATTGCAGCGCTTTATAGGATGGGGCCCAGATGCATTTATTTGTTATGAATCCCACTAGAGACATATACCGTGGCTATAATGCCATAACTTTCCTTTTCCCTTTCCAGATTGCAATAGTGTGTGGTTCTTGCACCGCTGGTGGTGCATATGTACCCACCATGGCGGATGAGGCCATCATTATGCACAAGATCGGTACCATCTTCCTGGTTATGAACCCCACTAAAGACACACTATAATCTAGCTATAATGCTGTAACTTTCTGTTTCCCTTTCCAGATTGTAATATTGTGTGGTTCTTGCACCGCTGGTGGTGCATATATGTACCGACTCTAGCAGATGAGGCCATCATCATGCACAAGATCGGTACCATCTTCCTGGTTATGAACCCCACCAGGGACACCCTATACTCTAGCTGTAATGCCGTAACTTTCCTTTTCCCTTTCCAGATTGCAATAGTGTGTGGTTCCTGCACCGCTGGTGGTGCATATGTACCCACCATGGCAGATGAGGCCATCATCATGCACAAGATCGGTACCATCTTCCTGGCTGGACCACCATTGGTCCATGCAGCAACAGGTGAGAGGGTGTCGGCCGAGGATCTCGGTGGAGCAACGTTACACTGCAGGTAATTAGTATGATATGACTCACAATTTTTTTAGAGAGAGCCAGAAAGTTGTGAACTCTGTGTAAAATTACAAGGCCCGTATTGTACTAGAAGTCAAACCTAGTGCTAGGTTAAGGCATTTGTCCAAAATCAGGTTTAACAAGAGATGATAGCCTGAGGCCTAAGTTTCTCTTTTGTATAACCATGATTTTAGACCTAGGGTCAGGTTTAACTGAATTATTAGAATATGGACCAATGAGTACAAACCTACAGTATGTATAGTTTTGTTAAGGCCCTCAAACCTTTAGCCAGATTTCTATGAATTTAGTAGATAAAATGACAATTTTATGTTGCAGTGTAATTTTTGTCCCCATGTGGAATGTCAAAGAAATAAGAGAGGTAAAATAACTTATGTCGCTGGCCCAGGCACATAAATCCCCTCTTACGATTGCCATGTATAAAACGAAAGGGTAGCTCAGGTTCAAAAAATCAATCTCTATGATATTGTTGCACGGGTCACTAGCAGACGGCCTCCAAAAGACATTCCTGTCAGATTCATTCCCAAAATTTACCAGGGGGTGTTTCACAAAGACCAAGATCGACCAAAGTTGGACTTGAACTATGGCAGACCATTCATGCCAGTAGTTGCTCTCACAATTGGTCTCTCAATGCTCGTCACAACTCTACAGAATTTACATTTTTTTTCCTTCATTAATGAATTATAAAAAAATGTAAATTATGTAGATATATACGTCTCTTGACCAATGCCAGCAAATGGTGAAAGCAAGCAGTAGCATGAATGGCCTGGCATAGTTCAAGTCAAACGTAAGTCGATCTTAGTCTTTGTGAAACACTCCCTGAAAGCATGGATGGAATTTCAACCTATCTGGCACATGTATCTTGTAATAAAAGTGGAGAAATACCAGGACATAATTTTTTTAATCCACTTGCTACCATAACTAGACATAAACTTTAAGTTTAAACCCTAAACCCCATTAAGCTGTCAGCAGAAATTATTGTATTTCTTTCTTTTTCCACCCTGAATATCATGGTTGTAATTGATCAGAGTAAGCGGATGCACGGATCACTTTGCATCCACCGAGGAGGAGGGGTTCACCATGGGAAGGGACTCCATCTCTACCCTCAACGTCACCCCGCCCTCGGACCCCACCCAGTGGAATGAACCTCTCTACAGCCAAGATGAGCTGCTTGGGCTGGTCAGCAAGACAGGAGAGGTCAAAGGTCAAATGAGAAAGGTAAATCAATTTTTTTTTCCAGCATATTGATTTTAGGCCCGTTTCGAGTACTAAATGTTTAATCAACTACCTGCCCGGTAAAGCCAGTAGTCAAATAATGAATCTGATAACCAAATACTCCATGACTCATTGGGAACCTGAGAACTTCGCCTAAAAAGAATCTACCGTAAATAGATTTGAAATAGAATTCGGTCACAATAATTCTACTTTCTAAGACATTGTCAAGGAAGTTTAAATAAATCAAATTCCCACCTTACCTTAACTTAGAAGCAAACATCTAGCTGGCTGATGAGTTTCATGAGTACCGAGCCTGCGCTTGATGATACACATGCCCTCAATCTTTAAATCCCAAATTCTGACCTCTGCAACATCGCGATCACGAGCTATACACATAAATACATGTGCGTACTAGGCGCTGATCAAAACAAGTTTGGCTCAAACCCAATGAATCAAAAAATGAATTCTGTAATTGTGATAATATTGGACAAATTTTCCAATATGAATAAAGAAATAAATAAATATTATAGTATTTTAATTTATTTCTTCTGGAAAATTACGATCTAAACATGTATAACAACAGTAATCGAACGAGCCTGGGCGGCCATTTTGAATTGACCCATGTATACGTATTGTACCGGCCGTCGCCCTCGTTGAGGGCGTCGACCGCATCGCCCCTACCTTCCCTCACGGCGAGCCTGGTATTTGTGGCCATATCTCGTTAAAGAGAGATAGAAGCGATGTACAGTATCTTATAAAATTCTAATTCGTTTCAGTCAAAATATATGACTATAGAAATACAGGTAAATGGAATAACTAAATTGACACTCAAAAAGAAGAACACATTTGTTTGAGACAAGATTTTAGTTTGAACACAAAAACAAAAACTTCATTTAATCATTTCTTTCTTTACATCAATAATATTATTGCCACTGTTACAAATTTAATAAGTCTTTATATAATATATATATACACACAAGTTAATACTTATGTTTATAAAATCTGTTTGTTATAACACTGTAAATTGGTAATGGACTTTATATTAACTTGAAGGAACTATACCTGTTTGTTTATGGAGGAGAGTTTAGGGAATTAGTAAATGTTATTTAAAGTTCAGTGTTAAGTTTGGACCAATTTGTTGAGCGCCTCTTGCGAGTCGACGTTGGACCAATTTGTTGCGCGATTCTCCCGAATCGCCCCGAATCCGAAAAATCTATCTTATATATACACTGTATGCGTACGTGGGGGAAATCTATGCGCGTGCTGTAAGCAACGCCGCGATCATGCACAGAGTTAGATGCGCGCGTACACATTGCAACTGGTCCTTTTAAGTTCAAAATCTTTATTAATTCAATATTAAATGCTTATTTATTCCAAACGTTGCACTGCTTAAAGAAATGGTTCATTGAAATGTGGAAAATGGGCCAATTACACCTCTACAGATTGCTGAGAACATTAACAAAATGAGCAAAGTACTTTTGAAGCCCTCACTGTTGTGAGGAATAAATTAAATGCAATTTTGTTACCCTTTCCTGAACCCACTCACTAAGTGCATTGACGACGTTATTTTACATGCGAAACGATGACGTCACAATATGAACAACCTACATCACACATTCGGGACAATGTTGGATACCCATTGCAATTTTCAGATATGGGTTAACGTTGTTTGTATATTTACCGCCAGTGGTGATATTTCCTCTATTTTTGGCATTTTGAATGAGATACACTGAATAAATGATACTTTCTACAAATGTTTGTTTGATTTTCATATTTTTTCCCGTCGCATTTGAGCATATAAATCAGAAAAATAATCACATATTCTGAGGGCACTTCAGCGTGTATGTGTCTGATCTGGGAAGGCAAAGGACATTTTGCATGCTGACCTAACGACTCTTTTGGAGTAAAATAGGCGACAAATTTACATAGAATTGTCCAGATATTCATTACAAAAATGTGTGATTAGGCTGATTAATTTACATTTTTGATAAATTAAGTCGTATAGGACCTGAAAAACCGAGAGAAACAGATCAGTCCGGTTCGCGATTCACAGCTAGCTCGAGCGCCGGGCTACGGGCTAGGCTGGCTAGCATGCTGCGCTAGATGTGATGCACGCATAGAGGTCAGTGTATTGCACACATAGTACATGCACAGAGTGCGCACTCACAGCTACAAGCTACAGGAAACTTGAACGCTACATCGACGATATATTCACTCGCATTTTGGAAGTTATATACCATTTATCTAGACTAACATCAGATTAAGAACCAAAACCATGCGATGGAGGAGCCTTCTGGAGTATAATCAAGTATGTTTTCGTCCATATCCATATTTAATTTCCAGGGGATTTTGATGAAGTTAAACAGCGTTGGGTATGGTACTCGAGAGTCAATGAAATACATGTGAATCACACGCAAACTGCATCTCTGTTCATATTGTGATGTCACTTAAAAAATCAGCTGACTTACGATGTTTTCGGGGCGTTGAGTGGGTTGATTTCTCGTCAAGTTCAATCAACTTTTATAAATTTCGCTCAACTGTACAAGTTACACAAATGTAATGATTTTACTCAGTGTAATTTTTCGATTGCAATGATACCAAATTCAGTCAAGTTTGAAATCAATAAACCATCTCTTTAAGTAATGGAAACATTACAATGCGTTTATTTGAAACTTTATACAAGGCATAAGATAAATATTTCAAGCTCTCCTTTGTAATAAGAGCAGAAATTTAACAAACAAATATTTCATAGCATGAATTTGGGATTTACTGTCATATTTACATAATGCGCGTAAACCGCACAACCTGAATTCCGATTCTAGTTAATAAACTAAAGAAGTACAAAGTTCGAATTCTCTTACGTTTTTGACAAGAGATTGTTAAGACAATAATATGATATAAGGGATAATTTGCTTGTCTATCTAAATAAATATACAACTTAATCACATATTTCATAAATAATGAATTTTTAGGCATATTACTATGATTTATAGATTGGATCTAGTGAGTAGTGTGTCGGAAGCAACGTACGCGTATGCTTCCGGTTGTGTTTATACGTGAAGCCGTTCATACTAAACTTCTTCAAACTAGAAACTTTTGCTTGTAAGCAGGTATTTATACACAAAACACACACAATCCAGACTATAACTCGCAGCGGTACTTCTGGAATAAAGTTAATCGAGATAATGTTTACCTATAAGTGAAGAATGTGAAGGAATGATGAGAAATAGGCTGACTGTATGCAAGATCTCAGAGTGAGCGAGAGAGAGAGAGAGAGAGAGGGAGACAGAGGAGAAAAGACAGAAATAAGACAAGATTGAGAAAAGAAAGGATGGAATGATTCAAACTGCATGTTTCAGAAGTTCCAGATAAAAGATATAACAGCTAGCATCGAAATTAGTTTACAAGTATAATATTGTGAGGGTGGATCAGTACAGTATAATACGTACCGGTATACATCGGTACGTACAGTAAATTCTTTGTGGAAGTTTTCGTGAATCGTAACATATTTAGACGAATAACACGAGGCAAATCGGTAAAAATAATCATTTATTGTCGAATCGAAAACAGGAATCTTTTACAATTGCAAATAAAACCAGATTAAAGACGGAAATATGAATGTAAGTACTTCTTTTCTTCACAAATAGTTACGTTTAACAGGTTTTATGCAAAATTAGTGCTGGGCCAAAGCAGTGTTTTCCATCAGAATGGTGGGCGGAAATCCACTGTGCCCAGCGCCGCCCACCGTAGCTATAACGCTGCACCTGTATTACCGATTAGTCGATTAATCGTCCCAAAAAATCACTGTGTAGACGACTACCAAAAAGGGGCTTTCAAAACAGGCCTTATTGATTTACTGGTACCGTAGGTCTAATATAAAAGGTTTAGATCTTATGTGATAATGTGAGTTCTTTGTGACAGCTATTTTAGATTGATTTTCATCTACTATCATAGCATCTCCACACCTTCGATCTCATTGTTTGCTACTGATAACACCTCTATCAATGGATCATATCAAGAACATATTCTCATATCACTAGATCACCTTTTCTAAAAAGTGTGTCGCACTAGGAGGTCAATGATAATGGGAAATAAAAACGGTAATAGAAAAGGAGCCTTTAATATTGTGCTTCAATAATTAAAGTAATTACTACAATTTCAAGGTCAATGTACTTTTCAGAAGGTCACGTGTCTTCAGAACATTATGAGTGTAAAGCCTTTTATAGTTTTGGATTTAAAAAAGAAGTCTTACATGCTATCCACATTAACTGAATAAAGTTAAGATTTCGCTGCAACATTAGTGCAGTTGTCATCTAATATCTGAAGAGAGTTAAAGGATTCAAACTATTGCGTTACGTATTAACTTCATTCTATTATCATACTGTTTCCATATAATATTTCTATTACTATGAGACTTTGTTTTGGAGTTGTAATGAGAAGTTGAGAAATGACCAAAAGAGTCTTGTTTTAAGCAAACATTATAATAGACCTTGCTATCATTATGATAGTCCATGATCTTGGTGGTACTGAAAGGGTGACCTTTATACCCTCATATCACTGAACAGAGCCAGAGGAATCTCAAGTGTCAGCTTCTTATGCCATTGAGGTGTCATTGTAAAGAGAATAGATTTCACTTTGCTGTGATGTTAAAGACATCCATGCATGGGTATATAGTTGATCGGCAACTTGGCGAACATTGAGCCAACAGGTATTACGCTCCCCTACGGACGTACGCATAAAGGGACACTAGTATACAGGGAAGCGTAATTCCTGTTGGCTCAGTGTGCTACCCTCTATATACCCATGCATAAGCAACTTTAAAGTGTACCAATTGCCAAGAAATATTTTGCTCTGTATGTTTGGGGTTCAATGGCGCTATATTCAAACCAACAAAAAGTCATCAGAAATAACTTATGACTTTTTAGTTCAGGTCTGATTTTGAAAGAGTAAATTCTCAGCTTTAAAATGATATATATATAGCACATCGCGATTGGACTTTCCTA